AAGATGATTCATTTCAGCTGCAGTGTTTATTAAATATCACAAAATAGATGAAATAGATATACAACGTTTCGATCCATAGATACAGTTATATCTCATATAATGAACTGTCAGCTGATAAATCGATACAAACTGAGTAAGGGGGCTTATATAATATGTATATCGTTCATTCTTGTTTTATCAATTGGATTTTTTTAATTTTACATTAAATAAATAGAGACGATTTATTATTTAACAGTTAACCCTTTGTTGGCATGGAAGTGTTTCTGGTTTTGTATTATTTTATAGAATGGAGGTTTATTTCATGGAGTTTAGATAATGCCCCAGAATCTGTGATCTGCATTAGAAATATGTTATTAATCAGCTTTATGAAAAGTTCCCTAGATTCAGTGTGTGCATTTATTTCAGAAATACCCTTATACATTAGTTACATCATACAACATCCTATGACATTATGGAAACGGATTGAAAGAATGTGACAACGACAGACAGAGAGACAGACAAACAGTGAGAGACAGACAGACATATAGATAGATAGATAGATAGATAGATAGATAGATAGAAAGAACAATTTATTTATACAGATCACTGAATTCTGAACATGCAATTAACAAATGTGGACATGCCTAAACTGTATGTAGTGTGTGTGTACGTATTTGCAATTATATACACATTATATACTACTTATACATACACAACCAGATGCTCCTTATATACATAATGTTTTTTTTATTTTTAAAACGATTTAATTCAAAATCCAAATGTGTTAATGTTAAAATATCCGAATCTGAAACACACATTCAGGGTGTATAGACGTATGTGTGTATGTAAACATGTATATTTGTGTATGTGCATTTATATATACTTTTGAAATATATACGTGTCCACTTATATAGAAGTGTATATCGTTCAATATATAGCATACAATATAAACGTGTGTGTGTGTGTGTGTGTGTGTGTGTATGTGTATGTATTTTTAAGATGAAGCTTGTTTATAGTAATATGTATTCATACAGTTCTGCTTGACCCCTTTTCCCCTGCGTTCTAGCTATTTTGATCTCTCTCTGTACCCCCTGCTGTGCCCTCTGTGCTGGGTGAGATGTTTCTATAGCTGATAGAATTTTATTTTTAGGCACACAGTGCTGAATTCAATGCTCTCTTGTTGAAGTCCTGTGCTCAGACTTGGCAGGGGACAGCAATGTCCTGACTCCTCCTTCACACAATGCTCTTGTACTGAAACATGCTGCCTAGTCTAAGAGAAGGACAATTAACTCTCTAATATACTTCCTTGGGTTATTAACTCCTGTTTTGCCTTGCGGATTAAAACCACCACATGCTATTAGCTAAGACTTGCACAATACTGACACTGCCTCTGCCTGTTTTATACCGATCACTATAGACTAACCTCTGAATCAGTTCAAATCCCCAATGATATACAGGTAGCCATTGAGTGACAGAGCATTAGGCAAACTGTGGTCCACACATTCTGCAGAGCCAACGGTTTGTTTAAATTGCCCTAAAGTGGCTGATCAGTGGTCTGCTCCAACTACACTGGACAGCCATTATTATAAAGTGGTCAATTCCTGTGTTGGCTGAGCTTCATATGAATTACAGTTCACAGCAAATGACATCAAAGATGCCAAATATAATTATATATATATATTTTTTTTATTCAGCTGAAACTGATTTCTGCAAGTGTGCTGAAGCTCATGTAAAGCACGCCGCAGCATGGTAAATAGGAGAATTAATATATTCACCGATGATCTATCAATATAATAACTAGAGTTAGATGATGTCACAGGTCTAAGTAAAATACGTCATAAACAATATTGCGGTCAATTAATACTGTATTATTTTCAAAATAATAATGTTCGGTTAGAATTGAGTATAATGCGTGTATTTGATGATAACTGACATCTATTTTTGAAAAAACAAACAAAAAAAAAAACACTTGCTTTTAGAAGAGGCCTAAATGGTCTGCAAAGCGTGCACTCTAAGTATTTTTAACATAAACCAAACATACTGCTTTGCAATATCCATCATTAAACATATTTTACAAATATCCCAATAAGAAAGACTGTGTTTCCACAATACTCCCAGAATGTCATGCCAAAAATGCAGAAACCTAGATTAATTAAGGTTACATATCTCCTTGCTATATTTTTTACCAGCTCTAAAATATCACTGTAGAAAATACAATCTAATTTAATTTACAACAGTGAACATGGATATTAGAACTCTTGGACAAAACAAATTAAATAAGTATTTGGACTTGGATCATCTCAAACTCCAGAATATAGCCTGTTCATTTCCTAACTGTGTATTAAGTATACATTATTTAATGGTCCCTTATATAATGTAACTTATTGTTCATTATTTCATTTAGGCAATTCAGATAATCAGACTTTGGGCAATTGTATGTCTGTTCTTAATTATGCAAACCCAAAGAGATTGCTCACAACATTTTTAATTCTTATTGTCTATCATATAAAATAATTGTAGAACTGCATCACACGAGCTGAAAGGTATGGTTAAATCGATAAAGAACTGATTATCACATTGCATAAAAGGGCAAGGTGTACACTAACTCCATATTCTGTCTAGCCTGTGACGTCACATCGTCATACTAGAAACTGGGATGTCTGACGACAAAACTCAACTTAAATGCTGTAATTGAATAGTTTTACTGCAATTTCCCCACGCACAGACAGAGAATTGGGTGTATCTGCAGTCTATAGATCCATTAAAATGAAATAATTCTGTAAGTAAAAGCATTGTGTTTTAAACTTGCTGATTTGGTAAGGACAGGAAGAAATACCTGACACGGCTATCGCCAAATGCTGCATGATGACCAAATCTTAATCAAAAGCAAAGGATGACGCATAGATTCCAGACTGTCTGTGTTATCACTTAGTATTGTTTATAAGGAAGCCTAGACATGTATCTAGACCTGCTCAGAAATGACTCTGGTCTACAGCCACACAGTGTAAGAAATGCTTTATTAAGAGTATTTATAAATTGATTTCTTTTTTAAATTATATATATATATATATACATATATATATATATTTATATATATAAATTTAAAAAAGTATAATATATATATATTAAAAAGTATGCTCCTAAACTACCACTGCTATGACTCTTAGCCAGCCAAGAGATTTTGTTTGAGGGTCATGAGGGTGTCAGTTCAACCACAGACAGCCAGGGCATCTTTACATACACTGACTAGATTTAACAGAGCTTATGTTGCATGCAGGTCACAACTGGCAAACGTATGCATTTACAATATATGGACATGAATTGAAAGGAAAGTCCTAATGTGTTTTTAATTCTCTATCTGGAACTTTAAGAGTTAAATATAAACGTGTGAGTGTTAAAGATCTACTTGGTATTACAGAGCTCTAAGCAAAGTGTTAAGTGTAGAATGTAAAGTCTGATAGACTTGTGTTCTCCTCCCATATCCTAAGTGTCTAGCTTGTATTGGAAGCTTGTGGTGTGTTTGCATTGCATGAAGCTTCACTGCAGGTCTTAGATTTATGTTGCAATGATTATTCATTATACTTTCTTTGTGGTGTTTACAGGCAGCGATGTGTAAACAGGATCTAACTGTGCTGTGAGCTACTGGGGAACATCACAGCCCCCTATCTCCTCCTTTTTTTTTCCTGCATTGTAAGTGTCTAAAATTGCAGATGCCATGTTCTTGCCAAGCAGAGAGAGAGAGAGAGAAAAATCAAAAACTTGTGGGACAGTAAGATCTTTTATCCATGGGAGAAGAAAGCAGTTGTACGATCTCTCAATGCTGTATTATTGTCTGGAGCAGATCACTGAGAAATGCTGAGGACAGAGAGCGAAATGGGGAGAAAAAAATAACTGTTACTGCTACAACAACATGAACAGAAATGAAGTATTTTCGCAATGACCTTAAAAAATTGAGGTGTTTTGCACATTTGTAAAACTATCAATAAATCAGTATACATCTCTAAATGTAATGGTGTTGAGGAGGAGCATTGCACGTTTCGGCTTTAAAAATTAACCCTTGCTTGACTGAGGGTCTGTTAATGATACTGAATACTCTTTAGATACTGAAATTGATACATTATGATGTATGTAGCTGTCAGACTGGGTAAGTGATATACTTAGCCATATAAATGAAGCATGTGATTATTTTCGAATGCTGAAATAAGTTTTTAAAATTTAGCAGTAAAGTAAATACAATGTAGCACAGGCTCAGTAAGCATCACAGCAATACTTTCAGTGTTTCCTGTTTACTATATAAACTGGAGAAGCTTCTATTTAAACCAAATACAACTATAGACCTTGCACAGACTTGCTCTCTTGCTGATAAATATATATTTAAGTAGTTGTAGCTAAAATAGGCAGTTTTACAATATGTAAGATAATGTTCCCTCTAAGATCATTGTTTAGTGTACCCAAGCAACAAAACAGTATACTACATACACAGTGCTTTCAGGAAAGTTTCCAATCTGCTGGGTGTTGATTACTATGTTAACTATGTCACTGCCTGGCCATACACACAAATTGCTGGAGATGGAACACTGATGTAGAACTTTGGATAAAATGGAAAGTAAAAGTTAACTGCTTATGTGCTACAGCTCATCGAATATCCATACATTAATCAGCTAAGATATTTCCTGATGCCTAAATTCATTCATTTCCTTATGCTGGCCAATAAGTTTCGTTCAGTCAATATACACATACACATGTTCTTGCATAGTGGGTATTCTTTATCCTCTCTGGGGTTTTGCTAATCAGTGATTGTACACAGTTATATAGTTACACATACAACGTTTTATTAAAAAAATATCTGAATCAAACATTATATTTTTTAGACACACATATATACACACACATATTTCTTTATATACATCCATGTATATTTTTATATACACTTTAATAAATATAATGTATATTAAATAGCAAATCAATATGATTTTAAATCAGCACTCTAATTGCTAGATCAATGTTAAAATGTCACTGTAGGTTTACATAGTGTGTGGATTGAACATACATTTGTCTACATTAATAACTACACTAAAATCATCTTGCTGAGGACTGCTGTGTACAAAGCTTTACTCGGTGGGAGGTACTGACCTAAAGAGCTGTGGTGATATGTCAGTTATTTAAATCACTTAAACCTATCGCTCACATCACTTATATCAAAATAACAGGTAAGTCCTCCCATTGACACAGGACGTGTTTCAACACTTAATTCACATATTGAATTATGAAAAATTGTTGATTGAAAAATGTTGGCAAAACATGCTGATTTTGTTCCAACTTTGTTATAGTCACAGCATGGTTACCTTAGCTTCAAATTTGCAACTATTTAGTTCACTAATTAGTGAATAATCCCCCTGTGGAAAAACAAAAGTATACTTGGGAGAGCATACACAGCATTAATTATTCATGCATTATTTCTCAACGCTACATAGCTGGATAGAAGCAATTCTGTTATGTGTCACATTGTAACTTTATACCTTACTGTGAGAAAATCCAATATTACCCCAGCTGCTGTGAAAATGATATATACAATAAATTATAATAGTACAATATTTCAATCTTGGCATGAGCTACAGACTTGAACATGTGGCAAACACTGTGTTCAAAGATCTAAATCTCTCTGCCGTTGTAAAAGCAACGTATAATATTCTACGCTCTATAGACTTCCCTATCTAGCTAGTTGCAGGTACTATAACTCCCATCAGCCTCAGTTTTGACTTCCCCACAGAAGCTAGTGCTTGGATTGCAACTCCCATCAAGCTCAGCCAGGCCTTGGCTGTCTGTGGCTAGTGGGTGTTGCTGCTCAAGAACACCAAGACATCCCAGCCGCTTCTTACGCTAATAACATTTGCAAATACACATAAATAATAGATTGATAGACATGACACTAATGGTCGGTGTAATACCAGAGTGCTATATAATGTACTTATATTATTCAGGAGAATAGAAAGGATATCACAGTTATTAATATGGTGATCCCAGTATGATTATTTGAATATAGACAATATTTTTTTATTTTTAGGTGTACTGTGTTCCTCTGCTCACAGTGACAATTGTTTAAAAACGTATTTAAGATCTATGTTTTAAAAATTATTATAACTATAACTATGCATGTAGTTCCCAATAAGCTGCAGTGCCAAGAGTAGCCTCACTAGCCTGAATAGACTGGCCGCAATGATGTTTCCAGCTCGTGATAGCGCCCATTGAATATAAGGCCTCTCCTCCTCTGTCCACTCTGACAGTATTTAGAATGAATCTATTGGTTTTAGTTGCGCGTTGACTCTGTGGGGATGAGGTAACTTTCTTTGTGGTGCAGCTCATTCTGCAATGCTTGCAATAGATCCAGCAACCAGTTTGCCAAAAATGGCCTCAGGCCAGTTACAGTGCAGAGTTTCAATTCTAAAAGGATCAACTCCAACCTTCAGTATTGCACAAGACCAGAGGACTGACACATTTGTAGACACACTTTAAATACATCTTCTCACAGATTAACAGAGATTGTACTCTGTACATTTGGGCCTACGAGGAAATGTACAGAGTAGGTTGAGGTGTTGCATCAGACAGATACACTTGTATTTCTGAATGTTACTTTGCTATGTGATTCCTGAATGTTGATTTATGACTCATATCGTGTGTTATCTAATGTAAAACATGAATTTTAAATCAGTATGTAATTTACGGCCTTCACATATAATAAAAACTTGGATCGTCTAATTAATGCTCTATTAAAAAAAAAAAGTCTGTTGCGAATATTATAGATTTATTTATATTTCCTGGATTGAGGGATGTAGATAAAATCACTTGCAATTCAAATAAAGTGAAACTGAATAAAATGTATATTTTGAAGATGATGGTGATAGATGAGATAGATAGATTAGATAGATAGATAGATAGAACAGATAGAACATTTAAACCGTGTTATAACTAATTTTTTATATGGGATGATATAACTTAAAAACACAATTCTTTCAGATTTTATTTTATGCTATATTCAAAAAGTATTTCAATATACACAGGTTTAAAATGAGGACATTTAAGGCACATGCTTTAAAAAAATACATACTATGGCGATAGGTGTAATATAACATTGCATGGAGATAAAAGTATCAGAATAACATGAAAAAAATAGTGCTGTAGAGAGAGCATAGGTTATATTTACACGATTTAAATTCAGAGTCACGACCATACAAACCCTACAGTTCTAAAAGATTCATCCCGCAGGGCTGAAATGATTTTACTGAATATGTCCTATACATTATTCATAACTGTCCCTTTGAGAAAGTGAGATGGGACCGCCTTGTTAATTATATACCACAGTGCCCAATACATTGGCCTGTATGCTAACAGTTGTTTGCCCATCAATCTCTATTATAGAATATTGATGGATGCCGTAGATATTAAAAAAAAAAAAAAAAAAAGGTGGTGCAAACTACAATCCCCATGGTACTAAGCATGCCATATGACTGGCTGAAAAACTACAATCCCCATGGTGCTTAGCATACCATATGACTGGCTGAACTTTATGGTAAATACAAGCTTCGGCACGTACAATGCCCAAACAACCCCCATTACATCAGCTTGTTTTCTGATAGTGATATTATCTCAAGTACAGCTTCAGAAAGAGAATGCTGCAAAGTCATTTAACAAGTGACCCCTTAATATATTTTTTAGTTGCAAAGCAATAATAAATTATCTAGTCCCTAGCAATGACTTAACCTTCGTTAGCACGTATTACATGGAAGACTTATAACAATCTGGGAGGAGCAATAAAGTCTCATTTCGGACAATGGGGTTATGTACGGAAAGCAATACTAGGGCAACGTTCTAAAAGTGGAGCAATTACCATGGCAACCAATCGAACGTTCCTGCTTATTGACGGCTCTTAGAACTTTGCCCCAGAATTCTATTTCTAAATAACCGTCAATGTGATTGACATAAATAATTATAAGGGAGAGGACCTATGTTTTTTTGTTTTTTTTTACCTGGGATAGGAACGGGAAACTGGGGCTGCGGATAGTGGGACTAGCAATTTACCCACAGCACAGAGGGCAACAGTTGCCCATGTCAGACCTAGCAGCAGCACATCTGCCGGGCATGCAGGCAAGCAGCGCTTTATGATGCTGACTCTGTGTCCCCTGGGGCTGGCTGGCTGGCAGGCAGGGCTGGCGATCCCCAGACACGTGATGAATGTGATCTCTGGGTGGAGGTTTTAGAGCTGTGTACTTAAGGTCGTGTGCTGGGCTTTTCTGTCACAGTGCCTTGACTCCTCCCATTCTTTTTCGCAATGTTGACGCAATGTATAAATAGTGGAACAAAAGGACAACTTCCTAGAAGCTCGCAGAAAACTGCACACATAGAGCAAGCAACAGCAGCAGGCTTCATACCCTCAGAGTGCACACAGAGAGCAAGCAGCAGCAGGCTTCATACCCTCAGAGTACACACTGAGAGCAGCAGCAAGCTTCCTATAATGAGTGCACACAGAGCAAGCAGCAGGCGTCCTATCCTCAGTGTACACAGAGTGCAAGCAGCAGCAGGCGTCCTATACTCAGAGTGTACACAGAGAGCAAGCAGCAGGCTTCCTATCTTCAGAGTGTACACAGGACAAATGGGCTTCTCCGCTTTGTGATCAATCACTGTCTACACAAGGGCTTCTCTTTCTTCCTATCCATTGTCAGGTCAGTAAATGCCATTCAATCTCTTCTTTGGCTTGGATTTTATGGATGGTCCCCATACCTGCTGCCAGTGGAACCCCACTGTAGCAATGAAACATGTCCCAAGAGACACATGCACCTATCTTCCTATTGGGGGATTAGTGGTGAAGCTGATCTGTTATTGTATGCATGAGGGCGCCTTAAATAAGGTTATGCACTATTATTATTATTATTATTATTATTATTATTATAAATGGATAGCTGACAGCACTCGGTTTTGGGCCTTACAGTAGCTATTGTCGAGACTTTATCTCCTACCATCCACAGGAACAGAGAGTTTGCTTGCAGGCTATCTAATGATAAAAGTGCATGCATTGTTTGGCTGGGATGTTTACCTCTCATGTGCATTTGGGTTTGTGTGCATTCATTGGCTCAGACAGCAGTTGGTGGGGCTGGGGAAGCTGCCTGTGCAGCTATGGCTGTTGGGATGGCTGCACTCATAATAATGCTTCCTTTGTCATGCGATTTATGGGAAGCTTTCCTCTGCTGCTTAGGTCGGTGCAATGAATGCATTGATTTGCAAGGATGGGGTTAACATCCACTTGTCTTCTCTCCCTCTCTTTCTCTCTCTCTCCCTGCTTGCAAGCCTATTGGAGGGGGCTCTGCTACTGGGGACATGACGTCACCTGTCCAGTGATTCTCAATGAATCTCTCTCCTTTAAATTTTTTTTTTTTTTTTTTTAAATTAAGTGGATTGCATTATTAAAACCGCTTTCACAAAGGTAGTGTACAGAGAAAGGGAGCCCGTGGCCGGTGAAGGAGAGGACAGAAGGGCCGGTGAGTGTGAGCCAAGGAGAGGGAGAGAGAGAGGGAGAGAGAGAGAGAGAGAGGGAGGAGAGAGAAGCTCTGTTTACAGTCACAACAGGCGTATTGTGACGTCACGTAATTGACAGGTCGCTCTGCCAGAGGGAAAAGTTGCCAGCGGCTGACAACGGGCTAATTTAAGAAAGGGGTGACGTCATCGCCTCCTTGACAACAGTAGAGGCTGCACTGCCCTCCCTCTTCCCTCCCCTCTCCCTCCTCTTCTTATCCCTCTCTTTCTTTCTTTCCCTCTCCTCTTTCTCACTCCCTGTATTTTTTTCTGCCCTCTTTACTCCCTCTCCTTTTGCACTCTGACCCCTCCACTTTCTAACTCTGCCCCCTATCCTCTCTATCTATCTGCACATTGTACTCCCTCTCACTGCCCCCTCTTTTTCTGTCCCTCTTCTACTCTTTCTACCCCTACCCCCACTCTATATCTCTCTCTGCTCGTTCTACTCTCTCTCTTTCTCAGCCCATCTCTTGTCTCCCTCTCTGCCCCTTTCCTTTGTTTCTCTCTCTCTGTCCCTTTCTACTCTCTCTTTCTCTCTCTGCCCCTTTTACTCTCTCTGCCCCCCTTCTACTATCTCTCTGCCCCTTTACTCTAACTGCCCTTAAAATCCTCTTTCCACTGTACCTTATCATTTTCTCTTTGGCTGTTTTCTCTCTACCTCTGCTTTTCGTTTTATCTCTTCATTTTTCCCTCGACTCCCTCTCCTCTTTATTTCTCTTTCACTGTCTTTCTCTCTGCCCCCTCTCCTCTTTCTTTATCTCTCTCCCTTTCTCTACCCCCACCTTTCTCTCTGCCCCCTCTCCTCTTTCTGTCTCCTTGTTTTTCTCTATACTCCCTCTACTCTTTCTCTCTGCCTCTGTCTTGCTCGTTCTCCCTATCCTAGAAGGGACTGGTCTGACTGAGATCACAGAACACTCATATTTAAGGCCTAGAATGCGAGACAAACAAGGTTAAAACGCAAAAACTGACACATTCCAAAACAGAATTTTTCCTTGTTTGTTAATGCCTTTTTTTGTCAAACACCAATGTCATTTTCACAAACTAGATTCTTTAGTGAATTGTCAGGAACTCAAAGTAAATTCACAATGAATTTCAGATTTCAGAGTAAAATAAAGAAACTAAATTGAAGGCTGACTTTTTGCCATTTTCTTCTGCAATTTGCAATTCTCTTTGAATTCTTGACAAGTCTCACTTAAGTGAATAACCCTGTGCATGGATGCTACAGTATATAATCTGTGAATTGGCAAATCCGAATTAATAAAATGAAGAGATCTACTCTATCTAGATTTTGCACCATTCTGGGCTGTTTTGCAGATCTTTGTCCTTAGACCACTTGAAAATATTAGGAACGGATGTGGCATAAAAGTGCAAATATGGATTTACTAAATCTGTGCAAACACAGTTTACAAGCATGTTACCTTAATGGTTGAACACCTTCTGTGCATGGAATAGGGACCTACGGAATATCACTATCTAACACACAAAAAGTATTTGTCATGTTTTCAAGAGTGCATGGAGATTTAATTTAATGATTCTTATGAGGTACAGTACTTTCCATAACCTCATAAAGGTTTTTCTTTCTTTAATTGTTTTGCATAGGTATAAAAAATGTAAATTACTGTAATGTGTCCTATGTAATATTATACACACACAAGCTTCAAGGCTGCTGTTGTATATTAGTTATTCTAACAAATACAATTTTATTTTTCTATTAGTGGGCCAGAGGCATTGTAGTATATATAGCGGTGTATGAAAGATTGTTTTTAGATTTTGCACCTCTATGTTTACTGTAAGTCCCAAAATACAGCACGATTGAATAAAAGTGAGTAAAAATCTCCAAGTATTTTTATATTTTTATATTTTGATTTCAAGTGCTTGTTACCACAATGCTGAATAATATAAACAAACTAGGCATTCAGTAGTTTTGGAGCAGCACTGTAATATGTGATATCAAAATATAAAATTAATTTAAAAATAAATATATATGTGTGTGTGTGTATGTGTTTGTGTGTATATATTTGTATGTGTGTACGTGCATTTAGTGTACATGTGTGTATATTACTATATAACGGTATGTTAATACTTGGTGTGCAGAGTATTCTTGCATTGCTGCAGCCATGTATATTTGACAGAGAAAAGGTGCACTTTTCAATGTGGACTTCATTACAAAAATATGAAACTTTTCAACCTGACGAGGGACTTTATCAGTATCTCAATACAAACCAATTAATCAATTTAAAAATAATACTTTAACACATAACCTTTCTAGGCTGCAGGAATTTATTAAAAATATGGAAGTGTAATTTTGTTTGGGCCTTTATAATACACACTCTTTCAGTACTACAATATATTGTTGTTTACAAATATTCTTGAATATAAGGCTCTGTTTGGCAGACAGAAGTTTGTGTGTATGTGTGTGAGCATTTTGTATGCACAAAAAAAAGTCTAAAAAAATTTAATAATTATTTTGCTGAGGCTTTGAAAAAAAAAGTCTTTAGGATTTTTGGGTATCATATAAATACACTAAATACTTGCTGTGCTATTATGAAATGCACCAACATGTAACACTGGTCATGAAACAATGTTCACTTAACTAAAATAAAAATAAAAAGAGATACATAATATTTTTTGAAAACACCAACCCCCTAAAATTGTAATCATTTTTACGTTAATCACACTATTTTTCTTGAGGTTTTGTGTTTTGCACATTTAGTTTTACTGTGCATCAGCATTTTAAGAATTATGACTTTAGAATTTATATATGTGTATGTGTATATACACACACACACACACACACACACACACACACACACACACACACACACACACACACACACACACACACACACACACACACACACACATATATAAATTTTATTTATTTATTTTGGACTGGTCATTGGTGCAACTGTGGGTGAGATTATAACAATTTGAGGAAATATACTTGTGAAATGTTCTTAAAGTGGATCTGTATTTCATAGATGTACCACCTCAATATATAATAGAAATGTGAATGTTATTTTCTGTGTGCAGTTGTAATTAATCTCCAGCACAGTGGCAGTTTATAGACCTTTATCATCAGTGTTATCCTCATAGACATGTAAAGTAAAATCAAATTGCTTTTTTATACATTTGGTAGCAATTTGGCTATATGTTGAATATTGAGGTTATGTACTTCAAAGAGGAGCCAATGAATTTAATTAAAACGGCAAAATACAGCCCAAAAAAGCTGTGACTGAATTTTTTCAGATCTTTATTTTTGCCTACATTTTGCAATTCCGATCTCAATTCACTGCAACTTTAACACTTCGGTGTTAACTATTTGTGAAAAAGCCCCATAGAGTTGTAGTAAGTTGACAACTGAATGGCTGTAAATTGGGGTTAAAGAAAATCTCAACTTCAAATCAGTTGAACATTTTCCTTAGTTTGTCTGTTTAGGTGGAAATTATATAATTTGCTTGTCAGCTCATCACAATACCTATTTTAGTATATGATCTCTAAACAGTCCCGCCAAACTAGCCGAGTTTCTAAAATTCTCCAGTTCAGTTATTTTGTCTTGAAATTTGAAATCACCTTTACAAATTTTTCACGATTCCTGATTTAGTAAATAAACCCCGGAATTATTTGCAAATCTGAGATGCAATTACCCATATTAACCCTTTCACCACTGGTGTACAGCATATTATTTTGCAAATTGATGCACATACCACATTACACATTTTCAGGTGTAATGTGGTATGTGCATCAATTTGCAAAATCAATATTTATGTGAGAATTCAAAGTGAATTTCAAATTTAAGGCCATAATAGCCACGCTGAAAGCATTGTTGACTTAAAGGATTATTCCAATTTGACCTAAAATTTGAAATTAACTTTGAATTCACAAACAAGTCTCACTTTAGTGAATACTACTGTTTGCATAAAAAAATAAAATAAAAAAAAAGAGACTATTGCAGTCTGGCCTTTTGGGGGCTATTATATAAAACACGTGTGCATCATGATTATTGCTGATCTTTTACAAAAATAACAAAATACTTTCTAAACATAAAACATATATAGTGTACACCAGGCCTGAATCAAAATATAGGGAGAGATGAGTCCTTATTTTTGGTTTCAGGCCTGGAGCGCCCTATATATGTTTTACATTTAGAAGTATTTTGTTATTTTTGTATTCATTATTACCTGGGTATTTTTATTTCACTTTTATATTTATTTCATTTATAGCCAATTAAATACTCCACTACTCGTTTTACATCTGTGATCGCTAATTATGGCTCCATAGGCTTGCATTAAGGGTGATGTCGTAACAAAAACATCTGACATGCTAAGATAAAGCTGATCTAGCCTATCTGTACATCCATCACAGTAGGATCTAAACTGGGATAAGTACCTATGGTGGCCATTATTGTGTTTTGTTTTGTTTTTAAATATGTTTCTAGTGAGACTGATTTTAGTGTAAATATATTAAACATCGAATTATATGCCAAAATAGAAGAGCTGCTTTTTTTTTTTTTTTTTTTTTTACCTCAGCAATTTTGGCTTTAATTTAGTTATCTGTCTGTCAGTTCACTGATAATAAATGAACCACATGGGTATTTTGGGGTCTTACCAAAAAGATCTAATTGCAATGGAAAATAAATGGAGGCTTGTAATTGGCAGGGGGTGGGCAGCTAGTCACATTGGCTCAATAATGAAGCACCATTTTTTTTTACAACTAATGAGCTGTGACTATGATTTATAAAAAAATTTTGTGGCCTTTTTTTTCTCTATTCTATGTCCTAATTATTGTATCACTATTAAGATTTTAAAAGAGACTTTTTTGTATGTGTTAAACATGATTACTCATGGGTGTACTTTCATAAACTGAATTAATATAAGTATTAAAGTGACCCTGTCATTGTTTTGTTCTTTCAGTTTTCCTTTCCTTATGCCCTTTGTATTTTAATAATTATACTCCCCTCCATTGCCACTTGCCTTTATTTATATTTATTATCTTCTCTTCCTCGCACCTGGTCTCAATACCTGGGCGCCTCCCCTCTGTCCATGATGTCTGCAGTTTACCCTTCTGTGGGCAACTTTTGGCTGATGGATTGTGGGTAAATTAGCATTGCAACTAAAATGCAAATTTCCTTAAGCTCCGCCCACTGCCATAAATCCCCATAAAAAAAGTAGAATTTTAAAAAAAAATAGTGAATTTTAAAAAAATAAAAAAAAGTGAAATAGAAGGAGGAAAAAAAAAGATTGACTTGCAAAGTTGCAATCCTGCTTTACATTTACATTTTTTTACAGGGAAGATTTTTTTTTTTTTTTTGGTAGCTAAGTTGTGTATTATTAGTTGAAACAGGCTGGTCCTTAGTATATAATTGGGTTGGTGATGTCTGTTCAGTGTAATTTGGTATTTAGTGAATAGACATTTTTTAAGTTTGTTGCTCTCATTTTTGCTCTGCATTTGTTTTTGTAATGTTATCTTCTTTATTCTTTGCTATAAACACTGATTATCTGTTTTTTATTGTTTTTGTAATATACAAATATATTTCAATATAAAATGAATTTATTTCAAAAGGTAAGTAACTCATTGATCAGTGAGTTGTGGCAAGCTAAATACCAAATTCTAAAATTTACACAGGACTTTCAGAGCTGAAATATGTCTTGTATTATGCAAAGACTTTTTTTTATTTTATTTTTTACACAAAACTTTGACGTTGGCCTTATTTTAGCATATCTACATTCAATTTACCACAAGCCAACATTTAGTGAATATTATGACATATATGTAAGGCTGGATTTTGTAATACAATGCAGTAAAATAGTTAAAAAACTATTTGAGAACCCCTAGCATGGTTGATCATAAACATACCCCTGGACGTGGGCTATAATATCTGTTTTCTTTAAAAGTACAGTTCAGGCTGTAGTTGACAATTTATTTTTAAATTTAATATATGGTGCAGGTAATGAGTTAACATTTATATGCAAAAACAATTAATTAATAACAAGCAAACAAATAAATAAATATTGGTATTATAATCACGTTTGAAGTTCCTGAATTTGCAGCAAATCCCAAGGCTTTGCATCTTCTGCCGTGAGCTTTGATCAGACAGGAATGACATCATGCTTGCACAGCATTGTTATTGAAGCAAAGAGTGGAATCCAAGCAGATTGTGAAGAATTGGAAAAAAGGGTGGGCTAATGGAGTAAAACAAATTAATATTTGATTTTAAAAAATAGATAAGTAAACATGCACAGTCTGTCTGGTGTGCTCTTTAGCAGGAACACTCCAAGCACCATAACCACTACAGCTTACCAATGAGTCAAGCCTTGCACTGGAGAACTTGGCTCAGGACAGCTAACAGATGTTCCTGCTTTGGAAGTTCAGTCTCTCCGGCGTTGGTTAGTAGTGGAGACACACAGTGGGGTGCTGGAGAACCCCAGGTAAATAATCAAACTGTTCAAAAACATTTGCAACGGGGAGAGGAGCCAGCGCACTCCTGGCTCCATTACAGGAAGCCTAAGAATGTTTTCCTCTTTTCTTTGTGGTGGGATGGTGGGGGAGGTGGTTATGGTATCTACAGGACTATGTTAAAATAAAAACTCAGTAAAGCAAATTTATTTTTATCCAACCTGTAAAAAACCCATACTAAGACTAATAGGAAGGAAAAGTAATATTATATCTGAAAAGTAACAAATAATATAGGTTTATAAAAACAACTGTAGAGTTGATGTGGCCATCCGACGAATGCCAATCTGCAGCAATGTGTTTTGATAGACCATGTGTAATTTTTTTATGTCCTGTGGTGATTTCTTGTAAGCCTATTGTAGGATTGCCCATAACTTTTTTTGTGTGTGTGTTTGGTTGCTATTTTGTTTTTTTCCCAGACCAAGTGATCCCACAAAGCTCAGTGATTTCTAGGTCAGGCCTCTGAAGTGGACTGCTTGAGTTCCAGATAGACACTTCTGCTCACTGTAGGACTTAATTATGTTTGCATTAAGTTTGGAATCATCAGAATCATGATACAGCTCTTCCCTAAAACCTAATCTTTTAACTTCTAGTTTACTGGCAAAATATTTTGGACAAAGTAACAGAGTTTGAAATAATGTCTTCCAAACTCTGCAAGTTAGGAGTGAACTTAGTGACTAAAAGTTTTAGTGTGTGTAGTCTTATCATTTTAAATTTTTTAAAATTTTTTTTTTAGCATTTCTTATGTTGAGACGTTATTCAAGGTGCTTTCCATAAATTAGTGAAAATACAGTAATTACTAAATAAAATTAGTTAGAAGAGAATAATATAAGGTACGAAAATGAAACTGGGGTGAGGGCATAAAGCTTGCCCAAGGGGTGTGTCAGATATACCCATGTGCAACACAATGTGTAACCAAACATCTGTCCTTTGCCCTTCCAGTACATCCTTAATGCACGTTTTGTGTTAGTTTGGGTTAGCACATCATCTGCTTAATGATAAAAATCCTGAAAATGTATTGTATATTCTCTATTACTTTTATATTTTGTAAGTAAAGTTTACTTTTTACTTTTAACAAAACAGCTGCACTTCACTGTGTCTTTGATGCATTATCAGAAGATAATTGTGTATTTATAACATATTTTTACACAGTGTTAATCTAAATACAGTTTTTAAATCTAGTTCTTCACAAGTGCACTTCAGCTAGACTTATTCATAATCAGAACTTTCCCACAGAGAGCAGGATAAACAGCAGTTTCCCTAGGATTCTTTCTACCTTGTGCTACATTCTGTTAGCCATCCTTGAGGGTATAATGTTTGCCCAAGTGGCGGTTTTCCTCTGCTCACTTGTAACATACAAAAAAAAGTCTTTATTTTACCCAGGCTGCAGACAGCCAATGGAACAGTGTACATACATAGTAAATGTCTGTATATACTTACTATGTGTCTTTCTGGAGGCCTTCACGCAATGACTGCTTTGCATATAGCAGTTCAGTTTACCTAATGCTGTCACTGGTTGAGATATGTACATAATTACATACAATGATAAGGAAGTTTCTTTATAAAGGAACATTGTATTCACTATGACAACGTCATCTTATTGAAGTAGTTATAGTGCCTACAGTAGTTCCCCCTTAAATTTGCCCCACAAAACTTTTGTTGTACTAGTTAGAAGGATGTCATCACACAAGGAAGAGCCGGCGGCAGTGTCAAGGGATACTGGAGAAAAGGCTAGTAAAACTATTTCTATTCCAGCATACCTGGGGAGAGGGGACACATGCAATTGGTTAGGGACAGTGAGACTATAACACTAGGAATACAGATTTGCATTCCTAACGCTATAGTGTCCCTTTAAGACTGAGTGAGGCACAGTTACAAAGGCGGGCATAGGGAGCAGAACTCAACATATCTTTTATTTTATCATTTGCAAAAGAGTGAATGTTACCCTTTTTTTGGTGACAGCAATGTTATTGGTTGTCGGTAAACTTTTGGGGTGTTTATTGAAGTGAGCTAACAGTTGGGGCAGTCATCAATCCATATTATGCACTAGCCCTGCAAGCTGATTGCACCTGCACAAATTTAGTGAGTCATAAAATACTTTGAGGGCACATTGAAGTAGGGTGTCCAAATCTGCCATATGTTCCTGGACACATAGCATATTCTGCTGTCAGTGCGTGAAAAAAAAGTATGTGGAATGGATATGCTACTG